TTGTTTGTTATTATATATATATATATATATATATATATATATATATATATATATTTTTTATACATTTTCTGATGCTTAAAAAGAGATAGTCTTTAAAAATCGTTAATTTTGTATGTAATTTTGTATGAATCGAGTATAATAAAAGTGTAAAAATATAAGCAGCAAATAAGCGGGTATCATAAATCTAGATAAGAAAAGGTGGTCTAATCTAGTCGTGGCGTTAAATGCGGCTGAAATAGCGTAAGTTGCACTTAAGCAGGCGTAAACGGTTAGCAAATGAGAATTTCGCAGAGATGCGATCAGCACTGCCGCGGAAAACATTAATCTTCCGGGTTGCGAGGCGTGTTTTCTTCTCGGTACCGCAAAAAGTCAGTCAAGTCGAGAGACAAAAGTAGGTTTCATTTTCGCCGCGTTTTTCTGCTCCCTTAATGTTACCGCGTGCGACGTGGGCGAACACATCTAATAGCTTCTCAAAGATTCACGACTAAACAAAAAGCTGCGACAAGGATCTGAGAGAAAAAAAAAAACAAATTGGAAACAAAATGATACAGTAAGCGTTTATTTGAAAAGGTATCTTGGAAGAATATCTGAGTTTTTCTTATTAAATACAATATTATTATTTATACAATTTATTATTTTTCTTATTAAATACAGTTACGTTTTGATTATTATGACTGATACTCTGTTATTCTTTCTTTTGCATTCGAGTTTGATTCTTATCTAAGGAAAGTTTTGAGAAATTGTAGGAATATAAGTGTCCTTTGTAGATTTATTTAGATATATATTTCTTTATATTTATACATGATAAAGACGTATAAAATTAAGTTAAACAGTATATCTGTTTTTTTTAATTATACAATAAATGCGCATACATATAAAAATATAAAATAAGAATATAATTTAAAGAAATTTAAAAACTACACTAAACAAATCGCAGGATTTACATAAAACAACGATGTGTAAAGCAATATATTAAAATCTGATGAGATTCTTTATTTATTTAATAGATTAATACTAAGCCGTAAAAAAATTGTAACATTTTGTTTATAATCTTAATAAAAAACTTTTTTAATATACTAACATTTTCATTGACATATTTATATTCTGTGAAATATGTGCGACTTGATTTACAGTTAAATCTGATATTTTATACAATCAATTAAATATATTAGCTAAATATATTATTAAAAGCGACTGAATACTGAACATACATAAAAAGGCACTTTTAATCAAATTTATTTTAAGAAGTACTTCTAAATCTCTCGAGAATAAATATATTGATTTTATCGCGCGAGATAGTATTAAAAGCAACAGTTTATCTCGTTATTGTCCTTAAAATTTTAAATGTGTTTCATAGTTATCTCGAAGTGTAGTAAACAGATCTTTTATCTTAAGTTAAAATTAAATTATAGCTCTGTTAATTTGCTTCGGATTAGCCGTTTCTTTAATTAAATAGTTAATTGGTCAATTATAGTTCAACTGCATTTTCAGTGAATAATATTTTATAACATTGCTTAGTAGTATTAAATGGACGGTAGATATATATCACTTAAATTATTTACATAAACAGAGATCTGTTAGATTAACATATGGACTCATATGGACGGATATATGTATAATTTAACATATCTACAAGTCTGACTTATTAAACTAGAGTATTTTTTGGCAACTTCGGAATCGATTTTTTAACGATCTATGAAAATTATTGAATATTAAAAATTTTAGAAAGTAAAGTTCAATGCTTTCTGAAAATATGTAAATAGCATAAGATTTCCCCATTTTTAATTATTTTGAATCTCAATTTGAACAGAGAAAAATAAAAAATATTTATAGATGCAATAACTTATGATCAAAATCTTGCTGAAAAAAACCAACTCCAAAATTGTTAAGAATACATCTTTGCATTCTTTTCATACTCATATTAGCTATAATCTAAATTTTTCATTCTTTTCTTAACAAAAACTCCAGCATTGATCATTTCTTGATATTTCCATTTTCATTTCTTGAAAACTTGTGAACTTTTTCAAATTTTTTTCTTACTTAAAGCAAAATAACGTAACGATGGCACCGCATGCGATGAGAAGCAGCGTGACAAAGGATATCAAACTGGATGCTGCATTACAGGAATCTTCGGAGCAGTAGCATTCCTGCCAGTAAACGCCATTCTCACGAACACCCCAATTACAGACCCCTGTGATCCCAGTACTGGCGACAGAAGCGCATCGCCGGATCACTTGTCGCCACCTACCATCCCCTTTAACATTATCGATTAATTACTTAATTAATTAATTAATTAATTAATTAATACATACTCCACAAATTGGATGTGCGTACGCAACTCGGAAATTATGACACTATAATTATACAAAAATATCAATTAAAGCGTACCATTCGTAGCAAATTTTTATATTCTATTGAACTTTTATTATAGAAAATTAAAGCAGAAGTTACATTTTTAATACGAGATTCAAAACTTGATTCAGAAATGAGGGTCTTATATCCTATTTCTCAATTTATTATTTAGAATAAAATAATCATGTTTGCAATTGTAATATCCACTTAAGAAGTTTATAATTTGTAGTTACAATTTGTATTATTATTAAATATGATGCATAAAATTTAAAAAAATATCTTTGTAAAAGGATTTCTTTCTTATGTACAGTTTCTGTACAAGTATTATTTATAAAGAAGTATTTTTGTAACCTTGTATCTTTTTAAATTTTTGTAACTCCATAAAAAAGTGTTCTTTAATAAGAACTTGTTTAATTCATAATAATTAAAATTTTTAAAAACTTTCTAAACTTAAAACTTTTTAATAACTTAATCACAAATGCTTTTTTATCCTTACTTTTAATTAAAGAAGTTTTTCATTACAATATTATTTAATAAGTTAATGAATTTATCTAAAATTAAAATGCTTTGAAATGTATTGATAATGAATATATGTAATAAATAAATAATTTAATTAATCTTAAGTATTCTTTTAATTAAAAAATATAAAAATATGATAAAATAAGTAAAATATTTCTTCAGTTCTTATTATAATACTAAATTTTATTTCGACAGGCATACTTACAGATGAAACCACGTGGGCTCTGTTCAGTATATTTAACACAAAATGTGCCAGGCATGTGTGATTCCTCGCTATTGCACTCGATAGGCACATTTCTTTCTTTATCGAATTTGGTGTAGGCCCCACAAAGATCCTCATCTTTTGGATCGGTATCAGAGCTACATTGATAACAACGTATCGCTTCAATACCTACACATTTCAAAATAATGCAACAGCATTAATCGTATGTTTGAATTAATCCAAAAGATCTAATTACAATGTAAATAGAATTCTATAACTAATTTGAGAATTACTAATTTGCAATATATTAATCCTATTTAGAATATTATAATTGGAATAATTGATAGAGACAGTTCCTAACCTAGACATTTTAATACGCAGAAAATATTTATATCGCATTTTTTTTTAATCAGTATTTATATAGAAATGTTTACTTTTTATTGCTATTTTATTTTTACTTATAATAACTGAAATAAAATATGTACACATTAGAGAATGTATTTTTATATTTATATATGTTTCTCAGTATGTGTATCATTTATTGCATTGACTAAAAAATCTGATTCATATATCCAGATATCCTCATACAAGAAAATTTAAAAAAAATATGATTATAGTAATTAAAGAGCTACATCAATCATTGAAAAATCTCACACCCGTCCAAAAATAAACAAGCAAGAATCAAGGTTCGTTTCCAAAATGGCGATCGTAGGTAAATTCATTAAAGTATTTTAGATGTTTTTCTTTCGATTTGTTCTCGGGATTTTTATTTAGGAAGGATCTCACCTGTCGTGGCGAATACCAATACTACGCACAACACAATCACGATAGCATTGCGCTTCATTGTCACGTCGCTCTTTCAGATTTTCTTTTCGGAGCGAACGTATGATGCGCGTGTTTCGCCGCACTGCACGTACACACCTGACGTCATTCATTGGGCGTAACTGCTATGAAGTAAGCCGACGGTCCCCCCTCTTTCGACCAATGATTACTCCTTCCACTGTCATTCGCCAACGGTGGATCGTGATGCGCGAAGGCCTTGGGCATAATATAATTCGCAGGACTCTTTCGGCGTAATCCCCAAAGTTTCGGGCAGCTTTTAACAAGAGGGACTCCTTAACTCCGATTAATACAAGATTCGTAACTTTCAGTTATTCTCCATCTTGCACAAATCCTGATTCAACCTGTGAACTAAATCAATCTCGATAAATGTATAATCGATTATAATAAAGCTAAGAGAAAGTCGGATGTTATTAAGAAAGAAAATGCGATAAAAGAGAGATACTTTATGAAAGATCGCAACTAACGAAGCTCATTAACCAGCGAAGCTAGCAATGTCGCCATTTGCTAAGCTAAAGTTTTCGAATTAAGATAAGAGCACCGAGAGCTTCGCAGCTTCTTCCAGATGGAGGCCGGAGAACTATCGTTCGTATCCTCCCCTTGATCTTCTCCCCTCTGACGAAAGCACAGGTGAAATGGTAATAAGAACAGACAAAAGGTGCGCGCTATTATTGTAGACCGCTGCAAATTACGAACAAAAATTGCTGTCTCGAGGGAGTGCTCCAGATCGTATTTTATCTGTCTTGCATCACATTTCAATTTGTTCACGTTTAAATCGCGAGGTGTCACGCTAATAACGTAACGGCGCGGATAAAGGCAAATCTCTCCAAAAACAATATCGTAAAAAAGACTAATAGATACGATGGACAGAAAATATTAGAATTTTCGAGTCATTCTGAGAGAATTTTGCACGAAAAGAAAGAACACAACTACGCAAAAATATGGATTAATTTATTAAAAATAATATATTCTGCACTTTAAAAGTATTTTTCTTTTTATGTAAAACTATTCCGAAAGAGACGGTATGCAAATAATATTTTTACTGCACACGAAAATATATTCTGCAGTGCAAATGTGATGCATCAATTTTTGTATGTGGCCGATATGGAATTTTTAAAAATAGATTTATAGAATTAGAGATGAGTATGTGAAAAGTTTTTAATAAATTATAATATTGATTATACAGGAAATTCAATATTTAGTAAGTTCAATTCGGTAAGTAATAATGGATAGTAAGAAACGTATAAATAATAATATAGATTCAAACTGTACGAATTAAATATAATAAATATTAAAATAGGAAGTTACCAATAAAATATTCGGGAAGAATTTTAACGTTTACATTTTACAAATTTTATCCCTGTAGCTTTATATTCCTCTTTCATATTTTAATACATTTAATATATTATACATTAATAAATTATACTTTAAAAATAAGGCTAGAATAATTCTTAATAAATTGATTTTTTACTTTCAATTAAGATTACGTATTGCTTCTCAAATGTATTTCCTACTACTAGTTTCGATATCTTTAATCGCACAGGAAGCTCCACAGATCATTTCTTCTCAATCTCGCAATCTGCACCAACCTATTGCGAAAAAGGCCGCTGATCGGGAATTTTCCCGTGATTGGAAGTAAACTCGATCCCACCGCAACCTTGACACCCTCTTTGATACTCTCCTTCCCGCCGTGCGAAACAGATAGCCTCAGTAAATTATTCAAAACGTACCCTCTATGATCTATGGAGGCGCCCCTAAGCCTGGCACTGGCAATCCATCCTCTCTGCTGCCTCCCTCTTTCTCCCTCTCATGCCACCAACTGGCCTGTCCGTTCGTCCTATAGAATTCACCTCTTTTCACCCCCTCATCCTTGTTTCTCTCATTTCTTCTCTTCTTCGTTCTGAGTCTTAGCCGGTTCGCCGCCTCCTCATCACCCTGTTCTCTCAGTTTCCCTACCGCTCGTCTCCTCCCCGACTTACTCGCCACTTCTTCTCAACCGGACACACCATCCCCGGGGTATTCCGACTTTTCTGATACCCGCCATCGCATTTATCCCATCCAACGTCTCCGGACGACGAGCTTACAAAGATGGTCCGGAATTCAATAAATCCGATAACGTATTTTCTACGACTGTACATAGTAAGCTGTACATAGTAGTTGCTCTCGATAATCGCCAACGTATTGATTTTACGCGAATATTCGAACTTATTCGAATCGGTTAATCAACAGTTGCCATCTTTGGTATCCTCAGATTTCTAACATACTATGTTTTTGATGAAGAAAAAAATTTGCAAATCAAGCAAGAATTAAAAAGTTAATAAATAACATTCAAAAACTATTAATTATATTAGTGTCATTAATATTATAATCGTAATAAATAATATTATTATAATATTTTGTTAGTATTATTATATTACATTTCAATATTAATATTATTATTTTGTTGTAAAATCGTTAATATTATTATATAATAAAATTGTACTTTCGCAAAATATTTACTAAAATTATTCCATTATATTTTAAGAGGAATGTTAATTTTTAAATCATTTTATTACAAAATTTGTTTAATAAGATACGGTTATTCGGTTTAAATTTCTTTGAATAATTTTATGATGAATAGAGCTATACCAAAGAAAGAGTATACCATACGCAGAGCGTACCATGTACGTTGGTACAAATATGATATTAATATAAATAGCGTTATATTGTATACTGGATGTGCTCCAAAAGAATTGACAAAGGGACAGTATTCTCTTTCATCACTGACAAAGGTTGCGAAGCGCTTTTGCAAAATGACTACACACCGTGTATTCGCGCAGCGAAGGAAAAATTGGGGAAGTAAAGACGGAGCTCGATAACACACCGCGTTGTATATTCGCATTCCGGATGGTTCTGGGGCATGCCTTTCCTCGTAGAACGGAAAGAACGTGTCTCGCGCGTGCTGCGTTAAATTCTTTTCCGTGGCAAACTGCTGCGCCGTATGCCGCTCGCTCTCGATGTCGTTTTGCAGTCGAGTGTTTTCGCGGATAATATTGTATCGATCCGGTGGTGCATCCATGCGGAATACACGCGTCAGATGCCGACAAGCGGTATCAGCTTAATCTTATGTGTGCTTTAACCCTTCTTCTCCTGATTTGCAAGACTGCTGAACTGAACAATCGCGTCCTTACAATCACAATGCAGGATAATTAAAGGAAAATCGGCAAACATCTAAATATTTCCACAAGATCGTCTCTTTTACTTTAATTAATATTAGTTGTGGATAAAAAATAAAATAATAAAATAATAAAAAAAGCAAAGGCGTAAAATAAGAAAATTATTTCCCAAGTAGTCTTTAAGCGAAAACGGAGAATGTGTTGTCAGAAATATATATTTTCGTATTTACGTGTCAAGCTTTTAAATTAAATTTGTTTAAGGAAACGGCCAACGAAGGGCCAGGTGAAGTAAATTTAAAAAAGTACAGTTTGATTTTCTTTGCAGCTCGCTGTTACCATTATTTCGACCGTTCGCCAACCGTTCACGCAGCATCCACTTATGCGCGAATGAATGTGACGGGGATATTATCGTGACGTTTGAGTTTACGCGAGGAACACATCGATCCGCGTTGTCGCGTTCCACCAAATACGATGCCATCGGAAAACGATAAAGAGGAGTCCCCCCGCATGCATCCCCGCCTGGGAAGCTGAAATCGATGGGGTGCGTATTTTATTTAAATTCGCGCGACAGAACGAGAGCGGACGAGATAGAAAGAGAGAGACAGAACCCGACGCAAATTTGCAATTTCAAAATATTCCAGTGAAAAAGGGAGCGTCCCGGTGGAAGGAGGGGGAGAAGAAGGATGAGAACGAGGAGAAAGGAGGGGATAGATGGTTGGAAGAATTTAAATCCCCTCTCGTCGTCCTCTCGTCCTGGCACGATTGTTATTTTAATTTGACTTTTTGTCATTAGTCCGCCGCTAATTCGGCCGAACTCGCAGTGCTTCCATAATGCTTCCTTATTGCCGTTTCCTTGTCTCTCTTCTGGCTCTTCTTCATTCGGCTCTCCCTCTCTCTCTCTCTCTCTCTCTCTCTCTCTCTCTCTCTTTCCTTTCTCGCAGTCTCATTAAAACGATGTCAGATTGGCGACAGAGTACTCAGACGTCTGGAGTGCATACAACTTCTGTCGGTTTAAGAGCAGAAAAAATTACTTTGTACCCCGCCAGATGAGTGAGTTTCCTTCTTGTCCGCCTGCTTTGCTAGAAAATGTGCATTTTCCCGATTTAGCGAATTAATTCGCGACGCAAAGCAGCTTTCCAGCGTTGCTATTGAGCGTCTTGTGCAAAGAGCTATAGCATACAAAGTACTCAGTATATCGTCAATATCATTCTATTATCAAAACTTGTAAGAATAAATTAAATTAATTGATAATAATTAATTGATAATAATAATTTCTTTAATTATTTTAATACTTTAGAATAACTGAGAGAATTAAATTAATTATTTTTTAATTATTTTAATAGCAATAATAATGATAATAAATAATTATAATGTCAACTGTTTATATCTAAATTCATCAATTCTGGAGTTATTAATCATCTTCTGTATATAATATTTTCTGTGTCTAGAATTTTCATTAGACATATAAATTATCCCAGTTTTCATCAGAGAAGAGCTAGCAGTATTTAATTAAAACTGTACATAAATAAAGATCAAATTGATTAAACATTTTTGACTGCCCATTTTACACTCTGAAGTTTCAATGTAGACGCGATTCATAGACGTAAAACGTAATGCGATCCTCTTTTACCGAGTTTTAGGAACGCAAAAATCACATGAAAATCACTCGTGAAATCGTGATTTTTTTTTTCCAAACTCATCAAAGGCACAAGCGTTGCACGTTTCTTTTGTCGCAAAACTGCTATTCAGATGCAGAAAAGGGATGAAAGTTGCAAACGCTGTGTGTAAGCCGCGAACGCAATGGTCCGTGTATCCATGCTATCGACAGCTAGGTCTCGAGCTAAACGTGAATGTGCGGACAGACGAAAGCGTGATAGCCGAGGAAATGAAGAAAAATAACGCATCCGGTTGACAGACGCGGACAACGACGCCGGTTCGTCGCGACGGGACGGCGGCGGCGACGGTTGCGTTCCTACAAAAGCAATGACGACGTGGCCCGTGGGCGCGTTGAATATTTCATAGGGTGGCTAGAGAGAACCACAGTGTTCGACCCATTCCTCTATCTAAACGCGCCTTGCCGTCATTCGGCCCTTAAGCCCATGGCACATGTGGTGCAAAAGGGCACAGACCCTTTATTGAGGTTCAATGTCTATGCGCATCTGAGAAAAATGACTAAATATAATAACTACGCTCGACAAATTTTATTAAACTTTTAAAATATACTACAATTAATAAAAAAAATCATAAATAAGAAGTACTTATAAATATACAAATAAAATGTTTCGATCTATAAAAATAGATGTTTTATTGTTGTCACTTGTTAATATTTTTTGTCCACCTTGTCAAGCAAGGTGGACAAGGTGTTATAGGTATATATCTTTTAGAAAGAAAGCAGTGAGCAGAGTCCTGAAGCTAGTAATTGCATAGTGATTTTTGAAACGGTCTTTTCATTTCCCTTCCCCAGCGATACAATATTGAAAATCTTTTTCTTCAAGTCCCTAGAATGTGTTTGATAGTTTGTCCACGTGGATGGAAGATATCGCTCGACAGTTAATTACAGTATCATCTTATTTTTTTAATAGAAATATTAGCCTAAAAAGTTCAGCAATATTAATTATTACTAATGATTCAATAATATTATTAACTTTCTTATATCTAAAATATCGATTAAAAATCAGTGATGACTAATATAATTTACAACGCAAAAAAGAAATGAAGTGATTGGGAATCGTGAAGTTTGTTGTAGTTGAACATGTAAGTATTTTACTTATATATATATATATATATATATATATATATATATATATATATATATACACTTATAATATATAGAATATTTTCTTTAAAAAAATTATAGATTATTGTTGGAAATTTCTCATATGCTATCTTCTATGCTTTTTTTAACAAATATTTTCTCGAATCGATAATTTTTAAGAAAACATTTTTTCGGAATATATAATGTATCGTAAAGAACTTTTTGTTGGATATGCTTTCATATTGTTTATAATATTTGAAATAAAGTAAACAATTAATGAATTAGCGAGTATCATTTTCTCGGTAAATAAATTGTATAAGATTACGGTATATCATTGAAAAATAACTATAAGCTTCATATTTCTCAGAGATCCATGTTTTTCAATATATTTTATGCAAAATACTTAAATACGCGATATGTTGTTATACTTTTAAACTGACATAAGAAAGAATATTTATTTTTACAATCATCGTTTTTTTCAAATAATTTAAATTTATTTTAGAAAAATAATTAATATAATTTATTTAAATTTTATTAAGAATTATTATTTCGACGTAATCTGTTTTTAATAATCTTTAATAAAAGAGATCTATTTTTTATTCCAATTTATTCTAAACTTTTATTTCTCAATTTACTTCTCAATTTAAATTTGCTTTAAATTAAACTTATTAGAAAATATTATTACAATCATTACTGAGCTTATTAAGTTCGTAATGATAAATATCGTTGTAGCAAATGATCTTGCGTACACGCTATTTATTTTTTTATATGAAAGAGACGATTGATTATTTCTCAGACATCTTCCTGTACAAGTTCAGATATCTAGACGATTTTTGCTACGAGCAATTGATCTTTCTTCGCCTCACTTTCACGAGATGATTTTAGATCAATATCATGTACACAGTACACGTAATCCATGTAACTTCAGACATAAAGCTAATGCTGTTCTGTGCCATGCAAGATAGCACACGTTGCAACTTGCAACTACAACAGTGAGATATCTTCTCGTATGCCACGTGCTTTATTCCGCCTCTCGCACCGAACCACGTGTATACCAGTGGAGCGAGGATAGCACACGTACGAAGCGAAGCTTACAGAGAACGGAGGCGAGCGGAAACGCCCGCTCGTAACGGAACCGAAGTGGTTGTTGGGGAATTTGCAATTCCCATCGGGCATTCGGCCGCTCTCTCGAATTTTGGAAAATTCCATCGCGGAATCCCCGGCGGGCCGGTTAAATCGTGCTACTTACATCGATCGATCGCGCAACGAAGCAGTTAACCTCCCGGCGTTCAAGATTCGCTTCATTCGGATTTCGGATCTAAATGATCTGTGTAAGATCACGATATATCGTTTAATATTTTTATAATTTATAAAAAAGATAAGACAAAATATAACGATATCGATATTTGATTTTTGAGCAAATATGTATGATGATGTGCAAGAAATGATGTGGAATAAATAAAATACGATATATATTGAAATTGTGGAAATTGTAAAAATTATTAAGGTGAAAAATAGGAAAAAATAGAGATAAAATTCGTAAATATAAATATAGTATCATTGCTATACTTTATTTATTATTAAATACCAGTAAACGTATTGCCTTTCTTTCATATATAGGATCTAAAATATTCAAAATATTGCATATTTTGTTAATTATAAATTTTTTGATTAATTTAAAATCAATTTTTTATTTTATTTATTTCTATAGTAATGTTTAATTGATATTAATTAATGAGTGTCATTTGATTTTTTTATTGTAAAAATCTTTTCATTTTATATTAAAAAATACTGTATATTAATATTAATTAATATTAATATTAATAAATAACACATAAAATAAAATTCTCGATAATATAACATTTATCAAATTAAAAATATAAGATTTATAAATGAAAGATTTATTTCGCATAATTAAAATCATTTTCACATCATCATTAAATAAATCATATTTTTTTTCATTGTCAAGTTATTTTTTCTATCTATCTGGAATATTTTTATCTAGAATATTATCTTATCTATAGAATAGTTGCATTCAACAAGACTTTTAGTTAATTTCGAAACATATTCTTTTGTGTGAAAATGTTGTGCTTTTGAATGCACCACCGTATTTGATCCTTGAAAATATAATGTAACCGTTGCTATACCTGAAATTCTTTAAAGAGAGAGATAGAGAAGCAAGGAAAGGGAGACTTCCGGAGAAAAGAAAGAAATCGAGCTTCTATTTTTTGTTCGTTGAATCATGAATAAAAGCAACAATGATGTTAGTTGGTTTAAACTATATCATATTTCAAGTAATGACTTTTTAAGAACATCAATAATGGTAATTTCCATTTTTGTCAACAAGTTTTTTGTAAGCTTCACTGTCGCCAAATCATCCAATTTCGAGTTTTCCTCATAGAAATCATAATTACTAAATCGACTAATTTGCAAATCGACGAGTAATGAAGTCGAGTAATTGATGTATCGTCTTGACTCGTACAATCATTCAATCCCCTTGAATTTCTGACATCAGACAAAGTCGTGACCATTAGTTAGTTGGCATCCCCTACGGTTCTTCTGACTTGTCGGCAAAAATGTCAGGTAGCCGTAAGATCTTAACAAATTTATGATTAGTTGCTGTAAATAGCGTAGCCAATAATATTTTCTGCTTATTTGTTCACATTATATATTATATAGCATGTATA